CAAGCTGCTGAAGCACACTGGAGAAAACGTTGAAGTTTCAGTGAAGATCTTAACGCATAATTCTCAAACTTCAGCTTGCAAATTTTTAGGAGAATTTTGGATTCACTCAAAAAGTCCAAAAAAGAATTGCAAGAAGAAGTGCCTCTAAATCAATGAAGAACTCGTACCTTTGGAGTCACTTCCTTTGACTCGAGGCTTATAAATAGTCTGGCATACATGATCAGTCAGTAGCGTCGCTAAGACACATTTATGCTATTGGAAATTTCATGGAGGTGTTTGGTTTGGCAATCTAATCAGTGAATAGGCAGAGTTAGAACTTTGCTTGTAGAGCTGCAGAGGTATTTGATCGATAGGTTGCAGATCGTTATGTCCATTCCAGGCTCGGACGAAGGCGATCTGCCGAAACGTCATCCATTAAGTAATCGTTACCAATCTCGAGTCTGGCTTATATAAAAACTACAACGTCTACATCATGCCGAGGTCCCACAGCATCACCCCTTTATGTATTACTGAATCATGCTTCTCTACTTCATTTCAAAGTAAAATCTGCTGTCTGACTCTGCAAACATTTCACTTTTTGCCCGCTAGCAGTGGTAGATTTACATCATAAATTAAGCAGCTTATTTCTTGAAATAGCCTAATATACTAAAATATCCATAAGCTAGATTCGCGTCCATAGTCTTCAGAGTATCTAAACACCGAGAACTGAGTGACATCTGTGCAGCAGAAGCGTATACGGCAGCATCCCCTTTCAATCATACTACACGTCTACGGCGCATTGTGCTCAGGTATCCTCCTTTTACACATAACATCCCCATGTATTGCAGCCCCATAAATATAAACATCCTGCTATTGCTATCGCCTTAGGCTTACACCTGGAGGCAGACGGAGAAGTTCTACCAAGAATTGTCCATATCTCTGTTCACCGTGAAAAGAATGATTTCCAATTTTGTTTTTGTTCTGCTAATTGTATGTAACTTTATGCGCTCCCGTATGGTATATAGTGAAAGAAGAATGAATATGGAAATGGCGGGGGGAAGCAAGAATGATGAGAAAGAGTGAAGGTGATAAGGGTGCAATGACGGGATGAGTGTGGAAGGATGAAGGGTTTGTGGAAGAGAAATGTGGAATGAAGGGAGCGGGAGTATGGAGATGAAGACAGGTGAAGGATCCAATGTAAAATCACGTATCAAAGGTGGATTTCCGTGTAACATTTTCAAGAAACGTCATTTCGAGTGCAGGTTACCATTATTTCTTGTAACTTTATTTTTTACTATAGAAAACTTTGGGCAAATAAATATAATCATCAATATCATGATAAACGAGAGCTGCCTAGCAAAACATCGCTGTACATATAGATAGAAGAAGTGTTTCACCGTACTTACCATTGCGAGGCAAAAACACCATCCTTGGGTAATTTGTAGGGACAGTTTACAAACTATTCTAAGTGATAGCTATTTTTTACCAGCTGCAAAGCTACAATTGCACTTCTGGTCACGGCTTTGGAGCAAAATACTGACTAGGTTAACTAGAACGACCTTGATTAGCATAAGATTTCATCGTTAGTAGATCGAATTTCAATGGAGTGTATGATGAAATTAGCTGGTCCGAACTGTTCGGCTTTGTCGTGGTAGAGAACGACTGCAAAACGCTGCGCGCCTTCATCAAGTGGGAACATCACCGTCTTCTTCTCCGTCGTTTCAACTTTTGGGCCCATCAGCTCTTGACATGAATCGGATTCGCTAAAAAAAACTTTGTAATATTAAAATGCGCTTTGATTTTGTAATGCTTTCGCTATGACAACATATGCATAGAAAATTCGATGGGAAATAGCCGCAGAAGCACAATCAGGCGTCAACGCTACGAGACTGCAGCTAACAATAAGCAGCACTCCGCCTACCTCGTTATATCTGGGCAAAGTAACACTCGAGACCCATAAGTAGCTTGCGTTATGGTGATGTTCAGCATAAGTGGAGATGGCAGATCAAATTTGGCACTTCTAAGGATTGCCCGGTGTCGAACCATGTCCAAAGTGGCTATGGCCCCTTAATAACTTTTTTTGTAGTTTGTCTAAAGAATAAAAAAAAGATTTACAAGATTTCCCAAAATCTTAAATGCATCTACTCTACAGGCAAGACTGAACGAAGCAACATATGAACACAAGAACTTCAGCAAATAGTTTATGAGAGAAAATCGAATTGAAACATTCACACTTAGGGTATATGAACTTTCCTGTTCGTATTATACATGATTAACAACGGCTGAAGCACAAAATTCCTCACAAGTGTATATTTATTGTTTTGTTCTGTTAAGCTTATCTGTGAAATTCTCATGCTTACTGTTACTTTTGTTTATATTCGTATGCTTATATAAGTGGCTGATGCAGCCTACTGGGAGCGGCCGCTTTTAACATGGTTTTACTCTTATTTACTTTATCCTTCTAAGCTATTGTCTGGCTCCGCTTGTATCACTGTACTCTTTGCATAGCTGCTCACAGAATCACAGTTTCTCATAGTGACATCTCAACTCACATTTCCCATATGCTTGTAAGACTCGTGTCCTTTGTCATAGTTATCAGATCCACATTGTCTCGCAGTTCTCATGTTTGTTGTCTTGATGTAGTGGTGTTCAAATAATAAGGTTCAATTACCCAAGTTTGAGGTGTCGCTGTGCAAGCAAAACACCGCAAAGTCCCGCCTGGCACTTCACAGTACTGAGCTACCGTACAAGTGGTGCCTCGGCTGAAAACATCAGATCCCATAACAGCTTCCGTCTTTGCATTCTGTGGTAATCCGTCTTTAGACAGTAGGCGTGGTACAGCTGTAGGTGGATCTAGGTCGCACATCCGAAAGCAGTACGACATTGCATTTGTTCGGCGGCTTTTTCAACTCTCCTTTGCCGTATCGGATTTTGTGCTGCTCTTGTAGCGTCATCAAGAGTTTGGCATCGTTCGCATGTCTGTGAGCGTCATCGTGAATCCACCAAAAGCGATGGCGAGCACTCCAAGCGTTTCGTACAGCATTCTGATGTAGCGCATACACCTCTTGTAGAACGCACCCTGCCACGGTGCGCAAGCGATGATATGGCTCCACTTTTCTCCTCGCCGTATTCCCCTGCCAAATTTTGTACTACATACCATGTTTTGTGTGGTGTTTTCGGAGATCTGCTTACTCAATAAAACCATCGGTGCGTTGTCAGTAGTAGTTAGCGGGGTTTCATTTTTGTGGAAGATGATCTCCTCGCGTTATCTACTGTGCTGTTCTTGGGGCTCCGCTTGTGTGCCTGTTTATAAGCCTCCTTGTGCCTGACCAGAGTTTTTGTCTCCTACGTTGCTGTGCTTTAATTCACGTTCCGAAGGGCGCATCGAATACGAACAGAGTTTGTATACAGAGTATGCTCTCAGCTTGCGGAACGCATTCACTTTGTCAGTAGTTAACGTCAAGATCTTCACAGACTTTTTGAATCGGCCGAAGTGTCCTAATTTGAGAATAAGTCCGAAACATTTACACTCAGGAGTCCATATATCCTTCTTTGACCCTCACAATGCCCTAAAACGCTTGAACGCATCCACTATGACAGTGGATAAGTCAGAAATTTCGCATGCTTTCTGAAGCGTGCCGAACCTGTCCTAATTGATGGGAAAAGCTTATGCTTTGCTTTCCAAGACATGCCTTTCTTTGGAGGTGATTGCGGAATCGACTTCACATTCCTTCTATACGACTCGTAATGTGCAGAATTTGGTCCATGTCCAACGTCGATGGATCTGGTTTCAAAAATACTTCCTTTAAAATCTCTTCTGAGTGATATTGCGCGTTTACTTTCACACCTGGATCCCACAAACGGAGACGCCTTGTCGTGGAGGTAACGCCGGCCCAAACCATCACCTGCGCAGATGATGTAAAGATAGCGGTCACGTTATTTAGCGGCTGTCGGTACCGACAGGACAAAAATTCTGCATTTTGGCGAATGTACAGTCGAGTAGATTTTCCGGGGTGTAGGGCGTTAGGCGACCAACCCAATTTCTTGTACCTCAAAAAACTCCCCTAAGCGACAAACCCAATTTCTTGTATCCCAAAAAACTCCCCGCGCAAAACGTCTCAGGCGGCAAAAACAGGGGAGGGG